CACCGACTAGTTTCAAATCCGTTGGGGTCTATGTCATTAGTGTGAGTGACGACAACGGGTAGAAAACAAAATAAACGCCCCGAAAATGCACAGCCAATGGGTCTGAAACTTCACAGTGCCGTTTCTTGACTTTCTCACGTGAGTTAAGCTGTACTTAAATCGACGTTTGTCTAATCGATGTTGTTGAATTAGGATCAGTTTACCAATTCTTTAGTATTTTGCTATATTTTGTGTGCTTTTATAATTCCATAATGTAGTGTAGTGAGGTAGCGATGTTGGCTTATAAGGGGGTAATTACAATTTTGTATTATTTTGACAAAATGTTGACCACGTTTGTTGCATGTCGTCAAGCACATCATCGTTCGCCGGCAAAGAGTAGTTTTCACATATGTTAACTAAATAGCATTTCTTAAGACTTTCATATTTCATACTAAACTAATGTATTCATTATTCGTATTGGGTTTGCGTCAAATTTTCAGGTATTAAAACTATAAACTTAGTCTACTTTGAAATAAACAAATTTAAAGTCCCTTAAACTCCTTGAAAAGTTCTAAAAGTGAGCGCGATGTCTCCGTTGTGTTGTAAATTACCGAATTTGACTATTGTTGCAGCGCTAGCGTCGATTTTCGCTGATTTATTGCCTTATTTGGGATGTTGGCGTGCGGCGATGATCCTGCACGCTCTCCTCCTAAAGAACGTGCTAAAGGCGCCGTTACAATTCTTCGAGGTGACGCCCCTCGGCCGGATCCTCTCGAGGTTCTCTAAGGACGTTGACGTGGTCGATAACTTGCTGCCCGCGCAGGCCACCGACGTCATATATTGCGCGTTCGAGGTAACGGTCGACTAACACGTTGTAGATTATGCGATGTGTACGGTACATCACTAGTATAAAAATTATTTCCTTTGTAAGTTCGCCGAATCATAAATGAATATTAAAATAACAGACTGTATTTTAATTACATTAATATTGGTAAACTGATCCCAATGTTATATTGAATTCTTCATAAATACATCTTATTTGTAAGACTGAAGTTAATAAAATATTTTTTACTATTAGAATTAATATCAAAAAACTATTGTGTATTACATTTGTTTAAGCATCATTAATATATTTTATACCAGGTACTGGGGACGTTGTTTGTGATAAGTTTCTCAACGCCGATCTTTATGAGCGTGATACTTCCTATCGGGCTGTTGTACTACGTCATCCAGCGCTTCTACGTAGCCACCTCGCGGCAGCTGAAGCGGCTGGAGTCAGTCTCCCGCTCCCCGATATACTCGCACTTCGGGGAGAGCATCACCGGCGCTACTACTATACGAGCCTACGGAGTCACCAACAGGTGAGATTCAGTCCAATGATATATTGTAAAGCCACGGTTAAGCTCCGAATTCCATTAAAATTTTACGTTTGTCAGATTGTAAGCGGTGTCTACGATACAATGTTTTTGAGGTTCTTTTCAGAATTTGGCTATAAAATATAAGTTAGTGGGGTCGAAAAGAAGCGTGTTTCATTAAGTTTTTTTGGTTGCCCAACATAAAACACTGATCAACATAGGCATGTAGGATTTTTAAATTTTCACTACATTACAGTATTCTTCAAATAAAAAGTTTGGCTCCTGGTAAAAAGCTGGGTATCCTGAAATGCATGAAATAGCTGTCATGATGGACTCGTATAAAACAACTTATACAGAATGATTCATTACCCATCCAAATTGTTCTGTCGTGTACAGGTTTGTGGAGGAGTCCGAGCGCGGCGTGGACCACAACCAGTCGTGCTACTACCCGAGCTGCATCGCCAACCGCTGGCTGGCGGTGCGGCTGGAGATGATCGGCAACTTCATCATCTTCTTCGCGGCGCTCTTCGCCGTGCTCTACAGGACATCCACCAACCCCGGCCTCGTCGGACTCTCTGTCAGCTACGCGTTACAGGTGCGTTAAGATATCGTGGTTAATATATCTATTAATATAAAGATTTGTATTTTTATATGTATTTAAATAACTCAAAAACTACTGGGTCGATTTCAAATTATTTCACCATTAAAAAGCTACGTTATCAGCAATAGTATGAAAAAGGTTACGATATTTTACAATCTTTTTTGTAGATAACACAAACACTCAATTGGTTGGTGCGGATGACATCGGAGGTGGAAACAAATATTGTTGCTGTGGAGAGAATTAAGGAGTATGCGGAAACTGAACAGGTACCAGTTTTGTATATTTACAAAATATTAATTTTAAACATATAAAGTATCGAAATTATATTACCGGTCCATCGATTAAAAAGTTTCAAACGAGCAAGCGGCTAGTTGGATTCGATAAAATAGAGAAGTGACTTGATCTTGGTCATCAGCATTAATAGATGTTTATGGGCAACAGTGTCAAAATTTTTTTTGACTTTATTCCCATCCGTTTTAAGGTTTATCTTCGCATTAAAAAAAACAATTTGATTGTATTACAGGAGGCGGCGTGGTCAGTGGGCAACGGCCCCGGCGCGACGTGGCCGGAGACGGGCGCGCTGCAGCTGGAGCGGCTGAC